TTGTGAAGCCACCAGAATGTATGAAGCATAAATCCATGCCTCTTACGGTGTCTGTTGTAGCAGACACATAACAAAGAAAAAACTCTTTTCAGATAACTACACAGAGCAGACCTCAAAGCACAGGCCCCCATTCCCCCCTGCCATTATTTTTGAGCAATATAAAAACCAAAATCCTTGAAATCACATGTGCGGGCCACATCTAAGTGCAAGGATAAATGGAGCTCAACACATTTCTTTCATTCATTTGAAACTATTCCACAGTGAACTCCTCCTACATGGGACCTCTCTCTGGATAGACAGACTTCTTCCCTCTGTCATCACACAATAGGAAAGAAAATTTAGAAGGCAGACACCGCTAAAAGAAAAGTTGCACTCCCTGATTTTCAGATCCCAAGGATCACAACACAGAGGAATGCAGAGAGATTTTTCTGCTCAACGCACAACTCAACTGTTGTGAAATGTTACAAAGGCAGCTCATTCAGTGATCCATCATCAAAGTATCACCCAAAGGCAGCATCGTCCTTCTCCAACACCAGAATTCCTTGGAAAGTATGTGACTCTACTCCTCTTAATGCAAAGTTTCCCTCTGTGCCTGACAGCTGCCATTCATAGCAAATATCATGAAACAGAAAACCGAACAGGTGAACCCCCAACCTGGTCACTGGAGTGGAAATGATGGAACATCAAAATACAAAGACACCTTCACACAATTTTCAGAAGGTCATGAAGGAACCCCGGGAATCCACAAAACACGTGCCTTGTCTCCACCACTAACTTCTCACACACAGCACCCCCAAGTCTCTCCTAGAACCTTTCACAAGTCACAGAATTATCATAGAACTTCACAATTAGCAGAGAGACTCCACTAAAAGAAAAGTTCCTCAGACAGCTTCCCATTATCGTGAGCAATATTTGACTTCTGCACCTGCATATGTGTCAAGTAAGAGAATTTCTTCCAGGAACATTTTAAGAGAACACTTCTATTGAAAGGAGAAAAGTAAGGATTTTACATCTGCAAAAAAGAAGGGAATCAACATATGCTCTTCCAGATGACGCACTAATTTTAGGCTCATAGTTCAGGCACTTAGTAGGGAATGAATACAGAGTAGGTTCCTCCCAAAACTCCCTTCATTATGGTACTTGCCATAGGTAGCTAATTAAACCATTCCTTAAAAATAATACAACAACCTGGAAACATACAGGTGGAACTTCCCAGGGCTCTCCATACACATGGAGTAAAATCTGTTAGGCCAAACTTACTGGGGGAAAAGAACATCACATCACATTATACCACAGCTGGGAAAAGAGCAAACCATAACTCTTCTGTCCTTCAACAGACCTTGCCACACAGGTCACAGGACTCTTGTCTTGAGCCCTGCACAACTTGCACGCTGTTCTCTGACCCTCATCATTTGCGAGAATGTCTAATCACAACCCCGGTTGCCCAGGCCAAATATCATTAACATCCATCGTGACCAAGCCATGCAGTTACCAGGAAGGGGAGTTGCATTTCTCTGCAAGGGTCGATAGCTTGTCATTTCAGATTAGCTCCACGGGAGTAGGTACACACACACAAGAAGGGCATCAAGGTGGTAAAGTGTCCACACAACACTCCTGTCACACAGGAGCTCACACTGAAGCCCACAGACACAGCTCCTCAGTGTACTTTTTTGTACAGTAAAAAGGGGGAAATGCACAGAAACACAACTGTTGACCTCATATAATTACTAGGACAACCTGAACTACTACACTATCTTTACATCTTTTGGACTTTTGAAATAAAACCACAGCAAACTTTTTCATCTGCCATGTCTCTGCACAGACAGAATTTTTCACCCTGCCCAAATGTTATGCCACAGGAAATTAACCTTTGCAATCAGACACTGCAAAGGGTCTGAAAGAAAACCAGCACACACAGCTCCTCCTTATCTGAGAACACTCACACCTCAGATGTCCATAAGAAATATCTGATATTAAGAAAAGTAAACTACTCTCAAGTGCATAAGCGATGTGCAGCTGTGATAAAATGACCAGGCATCACAATATCAGCTCAAATATCATTCTACTTCAGCACACGGGTAATTTGGAAGAGACCTGAGTCTCAAAATTCAAACTGATGTTTACCTGAATGCTCCATAGCTACCATTCACAGGAAACACCTTGCAACAGGAAAGCAGACTGATGATCCCACAACTTAGTCGGATCCTGAGCAGTGTGATGTCAAAAATAAGACATCTTCAGACTCATTTTCAGAAGGTCATTAATAAAGGCTGTGCATCAACAAAATACATGCCTTGTCTCTGCCAGTACCTCCTCACACACAGCAGTCCCAAGACCCTCATCAAACCTTCACAGCTCACAAAATTCTCACTCACCACCCCATTTGTAGCCGGTCCCCACCTATAGAAAATTGTACAGACAACTTCTCAACGTGGATAATATTTGATTTCACACCACATGCATGTGACATGTAAGAGCAGTTCTACCAGTGACAACTTAAGGAAACACATCTCTGAAAGTCTTTCTCCTTACAGCTCTAAAAATGAAAGGCGTATGCAGGACAGTCAGACAAAGGCGACAGATTTGTAACCCGATCATCCCACCCATTATCTGATACAAAGGTCTACCTTCAGATCATGACAGCGAGCAAGATGGTAACACCTGCAGAAAAGAAGGGATCACAACACACTCTTCTGGATTTTGGCACTTATGGAAAGGACCTAATTCCTGTTTTAAGTAAGAGAGGAAGAGACAGAAAGGGGAATCCCACAGGTTACATTGTGGCATTTGTCCTAAGTCCATAATTAAGCTGTTCGTGAAATTCATCATGACAACCTTCACATACATAGGAAGAACCTTCCCGTGCTCCCAAATCAGATTGATTACTATGTCACCTACATAAAAGGCTTTCAGAAGACTAAAATCACATTGTTGCCATTTCTCTTCAACACGCCACGGACCACAGACTTCAGACAACTCTGCCCTTTCCTCCAGCATCCCTTTAAACTACACATTTTCCCACACAGCCACAACATTCAGGATTTTCTTTACTCTTCATAGCAAGCAGACATCGTCAAGGGACAGGTTATTACCCGTCCTATTCCTCCACCAGGAGCACAAAGATAATGGCACAGACGAGTTAAAAAATATTTTGCTGGCCTCAGCATTACCGTGGCGACAGAGATAGGCTCAGAAAAATAGAAACGATATCGAGTGATGTTGCACACGGGGTCACTAAGTTTGGTTTCAAGAGAATCTCAACCTGCTCATGCACATGTGCTGACCCTGGGAGCAACGTAAATTCAGTTTGTTACTAATGCAACACATCGGTGGAGAATACCTAATGGTGACAGGAACTGCACTTATCAGGGGAGAAAAAGAGAAACGAAACTATGCTTTCTAAAACCACAAAGCACAGGAAAAGAGAGCCTCTAGCTAAGAGCAGCTTGCCTTCTACTACCTCGCCCACCGATTCTGAGGCTGAGCATCGATCCCACGTCCCCCTCACCACAACAAAAGGTACCAGCCCTCAGCGCCTCAATGAACGGAGCCCCTCCTTACTTGTTAGCGAATTTCGCTGTTAAGCATACAGGCCGCGGGGAACAAAGGACAGGGGAGCAGCTGAAGGAAGCATTGCAGCCACAGTCCGGCATGAGGAACTCACCGGGGGAGTGGCCGGGTCGGTGGGACGGTCACTGGCAGGTTCCTCCTCTCCGAGCAACGGGGCGGGCTCGTCGGGCGGCGGGCGGGCCGGGAGGGTGTCGCAGCAGCTGGCGGCCGAGAAGCGCAGGTGGCTCTTGCGCGAGTCGGCCGTGAGAGACACGTCGTGCGAGTAGGAGTGCAGGAAGGCGCGGACGCCGTCGATGCCCACGAAGTGCGTGGCAGGCACGCCGCGCAAGGCGGCGCCGGC